CGCACCTAAATTTGAGTCGATGATGCAAACATTTTTTCTAGGCCATGGTAAAATAAATACTTTGACTTAGCTCAAATGAAAGATTGCACTATATGCTTGAATATATCCATGAACGGGCATCTAAAAACATGCTAAATCATGATCTTAAATGATCCAAAAAGACTGTCAAATTTAGTCTCGCAAAGTAAATTGCATGCATACATACATGACAATGCACCAAAGAAATGTGTATCACTCAAACAAAAGCAGTTTCTCTTAGTGCGACATAAATGTGTGTTGCACCACATAGTGTATAAATTAAATACATGTATATCATGGACTGCTAAGAAGCTAAACACGCTATCAACCAATCATATAAGGAATATATGTTACTCCTCGACAAATGAACTCGTGTCATGTTTAAATAAAATGACATGCATCAAGTTCAAGTCTATGCCAAGCATGCACATTCATATATCTACGACTACAAGACCGAAGACTTTGTTTTCTTTTGTAGTTTGTAATAGGAAGCCATATGATGTAATCTTTTTTTTATGTACTCATGTTGGAACTCTTAATCAGGGGTGTTCTCTTCGGAGATGTAATTAACATAATTTTTATGCAAATATAAGAATTATGGAAGTATGGACTTGCAATACCTGTTCTTTTTCTTTTGTTCCTATTAAATTTAACCAAAATCAAATTTGTCTCTGCTGACGCGGAGGCGGGTCATAGCCACCCGTTTCCCCGCCATCAAGAACGAGAAGATAGGTAAGTGTAACAAGTTTGAGAGAAAAGAAATCATGTACTTGCTTCCCCGCCTTAGCCTCTGCTTTTATCGAAGGATGGGTGAGATAGGCGTCCGTTGGAGTTCCCTTTGATTGCACTAAGCGAGAGCAGGAGTTAAGGCGAGACCACATCTCGCACGATCTTAGTGGAGCATGCTTCTTTCGGTGAAGTAATGGTGATGGAACGGTGTTGGAAGTTGGACGAAGAAAATTGACTTGACCACATGGTTTGGCCCCTCTAGCGCTAACCACGATCTTAGGGGAGACGAAGTGACGAACCGCTAGCCTATTTTATTCTTATCGATTGCTTTGAATTATCTTTTGTAATGGCAGAGGTGGGTAATTTACATGCAAAATTAGGGGGTTCACACGGTTTACATACACAGTTTACGTGGTTCACATGGTTTACACCTTTGGGGCCTCTAATTAGTAATCATAAGATAGTAAGATAAAACATTCTTTCATTCTAAATTTTTTTCGCATTTTCATACACGGTTTACGTGATTCACACGGAGGATGAAGATTGACTTCCCTAAGATGTTCGACATCCCCCCACCGCGGAACCTTCAAGAACGGAGCGATCATAAAATCCCAAGAGGGTTTTTTGGAACTCACCTTGCTTTGCTCGGATCCCCCTCCCCAGTGCTCCGCTCTGCCATCGCTCCTCGACCCGAGGATCCATCTTTTGTAGCCGCCACGCGTGTCCTCATTCCATGGAAAAGCTCTCAATGGATGTGGCTATTGAGATTGCTAGCCACATCGCTGCGGCTATAGCGGATCCCATGGAAGATCTTGGTAGCCTGTGGGCAACCTATTCGCATATGTGTAGGGTGTGCAGCGACACCGTAGTGGGATAGAGCATACCACTATGACAGGTGCTACTGCATGGGATACACCTTGAGACCTAGAACTAGTTCTACGACCATGAGTGCCATGCCAAGCTCATCGCTAGGCTTGCTAGCGTCGATAACCTGGAGGCCTGCTTCTACGCTGTGATGCGCACCGTCTTCGTGGAAGACCGCAGCACGCTCATGCCATGGCTCAACATGCTTGAGCGCTCCACCGTGGTAGGCCATGATGTTGCTGCATTTGTTCTCTCCCTTGTGCTCCACTAGTCCAACAGCGGTGCCGGCAATGACAACATTGCCCAGCGGTGGTTGAGGAAGGTCAAAGGTGATGAAGCAGGTCCGACGGTGAATGTGACGTGGAAGAACGAGATATGTACACGGTGCCTCCAACAGGCCATGTTCGTGTTGCAGGACTTGGCTGGGTGACCGACGCCGGGTGAGTCTAGTCCTCTGCCTCCTCTGGGCAAGCCGGTGCGTCGCCAAGACGGACATCAGTGCGGAGGCGGAGGCAGAGGCAGAGGCGTCCACACGGGAAGGGAAGGTTGGGAGGAGTGGGCTATGTTCTACAGCGAGGAGTGTAGGATCCGCAATGAGTTGGATAGATTCTTCAGATCAATGTGGTAGATTCTGTGTAGATCAATGTTGATATGTATATATCTAGATGACAGGGATTTATATGATGAACTCTTCATTCTCTTTAATACAATGATACGTAAGTACGATTCCTTTCTAAACTTGTTATAGTTACCTTCCTTCTCGTATGATGCGGTTCAGATTCCCTTGCACATGTTTCCAATTTCTTAATACAAGTTATTCAAGTCATCTCCACTAATAAACACGAGCGGGGGAAGGCAACAGTCAAGGTCTATGACATCCACGACCACCAACGTGAGTCACGGGTGACAGAGCAGGGAAGAGACGACGCGGACCATTTAATTCCCTGCACTTTGCGGTCTAACACTAATGCCGAATCACCATATGAAACGGCGACGGGAGCTGCAATAATGACAATTTGCAAACACAACAAACCAATTTGCAAATTAATCAAGGCAAATACTTCCACCCCAGCACCATCTCAGTGAGGTGCTTTTATCTCACGTCTGTGTAGCCAAGACAAATACTACGACACTTAAAAAAATAGAGTAACAAGCATCACCATTTAGTTATTAATTATTTTAAGGCAAAACTATATATAAACGATACAGTAACAATCATCACAGCAGCTTCATTCATAACTTCAGTTACATTCCACAGTTGTATAATAACAAAGACCTATCAAAGACTACTAGGTGTACAATAACAAAGACTTGTCGAATACTAGTACATCCCATAGTCGAGTCTGGAGACAGGCAGTGCAAGCTAAGGATGAGGCAGCACCTCACAAAACTTTCACTAGCGTCTGCACCTCTCATGGTTGAGAGAGAGAGAGAGCAAGAAGAGGAGCATTTCAGTGAGGTGCTTTACCTTCCCTGCTGCACCTCTCACGGTCGAAAGAGAGCAAGAGAAGCATCTCCACCTCTCATGGTCATGAGCATGTGCATTCCTGCATAGGATGACTAATTGTCAACATGTAAGTTTAGCAGTAGGAAAAAATGAAGGAAACCATTTTTTGTCCACCTTTCTTGTGTAGTAACTTCCTTGTCGATTAGGATATGGTGGTGCTCACGTCTCATGGTCGCGAGGAGGGCGTGGAAGAGAAGCGCCGCCGTCGTTCCAAATGACGGTGGAATTCAACCCCACTACCACCGCCGCATTGATGGTTTTCAACTGCCGGTTTCATTCCTTACGAGGCCTCCCTATCGGTCCAACCGACGGTGGAAGTATCACACCGACACTTTTATCGCTACGGCAGTGAAAGTGGCGACAATGAAAAGTAAATCTGTAGTAGTGATACTTGTTTTTCCATTGCTAATATGCATCTTGAACCGTCACTAATGTGCTTTTCTATCATAGTAGCATGGGACAAGACACTTTTGAGGTGTTTAGTTTAATATAAGGAATCATCCTATTTTAGTTGAGGTGGTACATCATAGGTCCATGCCTTTCAAATTTGATAGAATAACTTCATTCCTCGTATTTGTACTCATTATCAACTTGTAAGAAATGATATGGTGACAGAAGTTTATTCCATTCTATAAACCAAACAAAAAGAAAAGGTGAGAAATGAGAAATAATAGATTACTTCAATCCACGAAAAGTCCTTTTGGCACCATAACTATTGACAAAGTACGATTTTTCTCTCCGATTTGCATAGTTGCATGAACAAAGTATAAAAAAGATGTTAAATATTTGATTTCTAAACTTAATTAAGCTGAGAATTCATATCGTGAAACAACATCCAGAAATACATTGAGGGACACTAGTGGAAAAGAAAACCCTACTCATGCTTGCATAGTTGCATAAATGAAATGTAAAAAAGGATGGTAAATGTTTGATCTCCAAACTTAATTAAAGTGAGAATTCATATGGTAAAACAATACTAAGTTGTTTTGCATTAGGTAAAAAAAAGTTGCCAAAAGTCCTTTTGGCACCGTAACTATTCACAAAGTACGATTTTCTCTCCGACTTGCATAGTTGCATGAACAAAGTATAAAAAAGATGTTAAATATTTGATTTCTAAACTTAATTAAACTGAGAATTCATATTGTGAAACAACATCCATACATACATTGAGGGACAGATGGAGTAAGAAAGGCCAGTGGAAAAGGAAACCCTAGTCATGCTTGCATAGTTGCATAAAAGAAATGTAAAAAAGAATGATAAATATTTGATTCCCAAACTTAATTAAAAGTGAGAATTTATATAGTGAAACAATATTAAATTGTTTTGCAGTAGGTAATAAAAAAAAGTTGCCTAGCACATATATGGCATATGTGCAAGCTTGCCCTAGAATGAAGGCGGCCAGAATCTTAACATTCTTATATGAATTTTTGTAATTCGATCTGACCGCTTTCGACTTCTTTCTAAGGCAAGGTCCAGTGACAACCGCCCTCTTTGGTTTGATGTTGCCAAGGGTGCTTGCCGCACTCAGTCACCGGACGTCGACCAGGATGCTTGGTTAGCCTTTGAACTGGCCCATCTTCCTTCGGCTCCCCCGTACGGGACATTTGCGACGTTGCGAAACCATGGCAGGCTCCGGAGCGTGCGTACCACCAACTCCAACTTAAAAGGCCCATCACATGGAGTCACGGCCCAACTAGCTCGATGGTCCAGCAGCCCAATCAACTCTGGGGATAGCGCGCGCCGCGCCCAGTCCCGGCCAACGGCTGGTCGGCTGCCAACGGCCACGCATCCGACACGTCCTCACGGCGGCGGCGCGGCACTCGTTCTGCGGTCAGAGCGTGGCATAGGCGATAAGCCCCGCACGCCGCGGCACCGTACCGGGATGGGCGCCATGGGCATCGTCGTCAGAGCGTGCGCGCCTCCCGCTCCCGCCGCGGCGGCTCCGTCCGGGTCCAGGGAGGCTGCCCAGGCCCAGCGGAGGAGCAAGCCCTCGAGGACCGGCCGCGTGCTCGTGCTCGGAGGCACCGGCCGCGTCGGGGGATCCACGGCCACCGCGCTCTCCAAACTCCGCCCCGACCTCGGCATCCTCGTCGGTGGCAGGAACCGGTAGGACCAGGTCCAGCAGAGAGTAGCCTTTTATGTTGAGGCTGAATCGATGCCACTTACAGGTGCTGTCCCGTTTTGATTTGATTTGCCAGGGAGAAAGGCGAGTCCGTTGCAGCTAAGCTTGGGGGCCAGTCCGAGTTCGTCCAGGTCGACACCCGCGACGCAGGCATGTTAGAGGAAGCGCTGCAGGGTCAGTACCAGTAATGCTAATGCAATGCAAACATCCTGCTTATTATGCTGTGACTACTGGCTAGAGCAAGCTAGAGTATGTTAATTGATGATGCAGTACAGCTTCACATTGGCAGCAAAGGCTCCAAAGCCCCTGCCAAAGCCCAAACAACGCTTTGCTAGCTAGCTCTCCTGATGTTTGAGCCCCCTAAGCAGTGAAATAGATGTTTAATTTTGCTCCAGGATGAGCTTAACATAAATACCTGGAATTTTTCTCTTGCGCCAGGTGTGGATTTGGTTGTCCATACTGCTGGACCCTTCCAGAGGGCGGAGGAGTGCACCGTGTTGCAGGCGGCGATATCTACTAAGGTAGAATAGAAGCACTCCATGCTTCAGTCTCAATTCATTTTTTTTTGGGTGGCGAGCTACTTAATTGAAAATGCTGTTGGCACATTTGGAACTTTATCCGGAACAGACACCATATATTGATGTCTGCGATGACACGGACTATTCTTGGAGAGCAAAAGGCTTCCATGAGCAAGCAAATGCTGCTGGTGTTCCAGCTATTACTACTGCTGGCATATATCCAGGAGTTAGCAATGGTAATTAGTGTATCTTCTTTCTTTAGACTTTAGAACTCAATTTTCCTTGAGTTTTCTTGTTCTTTTGATGAATTCCTCAACCACATCTTTTCTCACACAATAATCTTGATAAGTCATATGATACTCCACAATAGTTTTCAAATGGATGCACAAGATGCGATGGTAAGCTAGCATCAAGAGTTGAAACGAGGAAAATTTTTGTGTGATCACCAAATACATCGATGTCATGTATAGTATGACCAAAGCTAAAACACATAAAAGAAATATAATCTACAAAAAAAGAACATCTATTGACAAATGAAATACTCCGTTTGTGCACAACAATGACATAGCAGAGTCTCGAAGAAACATCGTGTACTGCTGTTTCTATCACATTCTGTTAGTAAAATCTACAGGAATAATATTAAGAGAGTATGCAAGCGGTAGAGTCTTACCGCCTGTGACCGAAAGGTCCCGGGTTCGAGTCGCGGTCTCCTCGCATTGCACAGGCGAGGGTAAGGCTTGCCACTAACACCCTTCCCCAGACCCCGAACAGAGCGGGAGCTCTCTGCACTGGGTACGCCCTTTATTTTTTATGCCCACCATATTAGTATGACTTTCACTCTGTCGAGCAAAATACATTTGCTCATATTAGTGGTCAAGTTAAGAACATTTGACTACACATTTTCAAAAAGGCTCACATTTATGCACAGAGGATTGGAGTATCGTTTAATTGCCTTAACTTTAAATAGCTCTATCCTTGTCAAACTGTAGAAGGAACTTAATTGCACAGGCCTTCTTTTCCTGGACAGAATCTGATGCAAATCAGACTGAACCACAACATTTGGTCTGCATAGATGGTGGTGCTTTAGTTAAGTATAATAGAAGGGGCTATCTAGAAGAGATGAATATCTTGATCTTTGAGTCCTTATTGGTGTATTGTATTCTTCTCTGGTGACAGTGATGGCTGCTGAGCTTGTGCATGCTGCCAGAAGTGAAAATGGCGAACCTGAAAGACTAAGGTTAGAGTTCTTTGTTGTCTAGAACAGGAAATGCCAAAATATTCATTCAGTGTACAGTAAGGGCTCTATTTGGTTTTCTGTTGGCATGTAGTAGTTAAATTGCTATTCTCCATGATGTGTTTTCTCTCCTAGCTAGGCTGAGAGTGTTCCTGTTAGCTTAAAAGCACCTGCATAATAGCTGTCGCGTCAAACTGTTTCATCAATGTTTACTTGATCTATGAAGCTAGTAATTAGTGTTTTTGAACATCCATACATATTCCATATGTTGCTAAACCCCTCTTTTAGATTCTTTTACTATACTGCAGGTACTGGTGGTGCTGGTCCAACAATATTGGCAACAAGTTTTCTGCTTCTTGGGGAGGATGTAATTGCATATAACAAGGGTACTTCCAGCTTATGCACTAGTGCTATTGCACCTATGGAGTTCCTCACTGTAAGGGAAAATTATACGTCATTCTTATTTTTATTACTAATTCAGGAGAAGAAATCAAATTGAAGCCCTATAGTGGAGCTCTGAACATTGATTTCGGAAAGGGGGTCAGAAAGAAAAATGTCTACTTATTGTAAGCACTTGGGCCAATGTTTACCTTTCCATATCTTATAATTGACAAAGTTACAAAACTGAAATATAATATAACCAAAAAGGAAGCTAATAAATTTCACATTGTGTTATCTACTCCAGGAATTTGCCTGAAGTGAAGAGTGCTTTTAAGATATTAGGTGTGCCAACTGTTAGTGCTCGATTTGGTACTGCTCCTTTCTTCTGGAATTGGGGAATGCAGGCTTTCGCAAACTTTTTACCTGTTGTATGTATTTTTCCTCGGTTTATGCTTATACAAAGTAATTTCATTTCGGCCTGCTTAGTTATAGTTGCTATTATTAATACTGTAGTGATTAAATTTATAGTTGCAAACAGGCATTACCAATTTTCATTATGCAATTATAGCATTTAATCGGTAGTTCCTGTATTACAATTAAACCAAATGGTTTGCTGTGGACTGGAATCCAGAACATATACAAGAATACATGATACTATTCAATTTTCAGTTCGCATTAATCTGACCTGAATCTTGATCCTCTTCAGGAGTTCTTGAGGGATAGAAATAAGGTTCAGAAGTTGGTTCAGTCTGTTGATCCTTTGGTTCGAGCCATTGATGGTATCGCAGGAGAGCGTGTCTCTATGAGAGTAAGTTCTTTACCTGTGTCAAGAGTAGTGCTGGACTACAAATGGCCATTGCCTAATCAAAATGTTTTCGTTTCTGTAGGTAGACTTGGACTGTTCAAATGGCCGGAATACTATTGGATTATTTACTCATAAAAAGCTATCTGTGTAAGTACGGAGCATAAGAAAATTGAAACATCCTCGAGCAATATCTAACTGATGTTTAATATTTCCAATTCGTAACTCTCTGATTATTTAAAAATATGAAGCTCTACATTAACTTTCCAAACCACAACATATTCTATATTGATTGTTTCCTTTCCTTTACAAAATTTTCTTATGAAAACGATCTGTTTCTATAAAACTGGGAGCATATCTACTGCTTCAGTTTTTTCTTTTCTTTGCATTCCATTATAAATTATAATGTATTGTTAGATTTAAGTTTCTAGCCAGACATCACTATATTGCCCAGGAATTCAGAGTGAAAATTGGCGAAGTAGTTACTATATGGTTCATTTGAGAACTTCTGGTGTGCTCTTAAGTTTTCTTACTGGGTGACCAGAATTACTAGAAATACTCTCTGGACTGCATCTAAGCATATTCTAGATCAAAATTGACAGATCGGTGGGCTTTGCGACAGCTGCATTTGCTTTAGCAGTTCTTGAGGGCAACACACAACCAGGAGTTTGGTTTCCAGAAGAGGTGAGTAATCCTTCCTTAGAATAAACAAATGAAAAAAAAGTTAACATAAGACCTCATTTCCCAAACTAAACTACCTCAATTTGTTATAATGCAGCCAGAGGGAATACCGATAGAAGCAAGGAAGCTGCTTCTTGAGCGTGCATCTCAAGGGACAAGTAACTTCGTGATGAACAAGTGATTTCTCTTTCCCCAACCTAAAACACATTATATGTTGTCCCAATTCATGTTATGTTTCAGCTAAACATGCTCATCCACTTCAATTGACAGGCCTTCCTGGATGGTAGAAACTGATCCAAAGGAAGTCGGCCTAGGAATTTATGTGTGAGAAGATTGACTTACTTAAATTCTTGGGTGCTTGACAAAGGCAACTAAATCTTGGGAGTAATTTTCCGTCCGAGAGAAGTTGAATGTGACAGCCATCAGCGTGTTGAAGTCCCCAGTCCCCAGATTGAGCGTGATGTTTTGTATCGGTTGGACTATTTTACTTTTGAAAGGGTTTGTACATGAACGATGATGGTTATAAGGAAAAAGAATACAGGTCCATAGAACAATTTTGTGCACCACACAGGTGATAAACTTGTAACATTTTAAATATGTATTCAGATTACACGCTTAAAAGGTAATACACATCCAAGGTTTTAAGATGGTTGACTTAAGACAACATTAAGTGTCACTTGGGTGTAATTGATATCTAGTTATAACATTATTTAGCTACGAGATCATTTCCTCGTAGGAAGCTTCACAGTGTTATAAAACTGAATGTCACGAGATCTAATTAACAAGAAAAGTAGACAAACACAAACTGAATCTCACATTATTAATATGATTTTTATGTATACAGCTCATTTGAAGCTCAACTGTACTCCTCAGAATTACGCAGTTACATAATGATGTGAGATGCCATCTGCGTTGCGTTGCATCTAAGCATGTCAGAGTGAATTTTTGCAGATCGGTCGGCTATGCAGCAACTGATTTTGCTTTACCGATTCTTGAGGAAACACGCATCCAAGTGTCTGGTTTATAGAAGAGGTGAGTGGTGCATTTTGCATAAGACAGGAAAAACTGAAGAGTTAACAGAGGAATTTTCGTTCTTCATCTTGCATATTGGAGGAATTTACAATTGGCAAAAGTTGTCAAGAAAAAAAATGAATCATGGTTTGTATGCTCACCTGCACTGTTTTACTTCGGGAATGTTTGTGCACAAAAGATGACAATAGGCACCAAGTTGACAGCTGGGTTGACAGTGGACACCCATCAAAGTGATTCTGTAAAACCTCTTCTCCTTTTGCTGTCCTAAAACAGAGAGCATAGCACAGGTTGTGTGGTTGTTGGAATCATAAGTTAAAATCCCAATGACTACTCGCATAGCCATAATTCCCCGTTCTGGTATTTACATGTATTCCATACTCTTGCAATCTATCCAGAAATACATTTTAGTGGGATAGACCTCCAGGCCCCAATTATCGAGACCCATACAGTGAGGTCAAGATGTTTTGCTTGTCCCAAGATGCTCTGCATGCCTATACAACGAGGAGAGAACCGACTATACTTTGTTAGCATCATTTCACTACTTCACATCCGAATTTTATCGCACGCCAAACAGACTGGTGCCTAGCAATTCTTGTCCAAAAATGGTCTACATTGCCATTGATGTTGCTGGAAACACCCTGTCCAGTAGGGTATAAACACCTCCACCAAGTAGAAATGCGCCACTGGCAGGAAAATGTTACTATGTTAGATCCAGACATATCTCTATAGAAGGAAATATAATATTTTAAGGACCATTTGATATTTGATAATGATGTCAACTTCAGACAACATATTTTTGACAAACAGACGAGTTCAGTAGTTTGGAAAGACATTGACATATGTTGTATAAAAAAAAACTACAAGTAGTAACAAAAAAAACTACAATAGTAACATATATGCCATTTGATGTATTTTTTTTTTTCTTTTGGCAGCCAATATATGTACCTAAAGTCCAAGAGCTACAAATCTTTTTAAGCTAAACAATTTGATGCTCATGTTCATGGGGGTGTATAATCAGAAAGTTAAATGAAAGTTTGACATATTTCTTCAATTTTAAAATCTTGACTGTAAGAACAAAATGCAAAAGGATAACTGGAACAAGATCTAAACAGTCAATTTGCAGAAAAAACAGTCAGATTTCAAGAACAAGTAGATACCTGATTGGGTTTATCCATGCGGAATATCTTCTGAATGACAACAAACTCTACAGAAGACAAACTTAATAATTAGTGCACAAAAGTACAATAAACTATTTTGATCACTTGATCTTGTGCTATTACTATGTTCTTTTTTGAGCAATTCAAAATTCCAATCTTGTTTAATAAATTTCAACTCGGTTTGAACACCCACCATGAAGTTCTCAAGAAAATAAATTAATTAATTAAATAAAAGTCAACATTCTTACCTGCAATGCTCCAGCAAAAGAAGCTGCAATAAGAAGAGGCGCAACATAGCCCGTTGTGTATGTCAACAATAAGCTTCCTCCAATAATTGGGTCCTGAAACAAGAAGCTTGAAGTTGTGGTGACAGGACTTCGTAATCATCTTGGAAAAAAAAACATAAGCTAGGAGAGCATGTCATCTAAAATAAAGTACTGCAGGATAGAATATAATTATTAATTCCTGATTAATCTAAAGCTCATGACAAAACTCTAATAAAATGTTCTTAATGTGTTGGATTTTAAACAATTGTAATAGACTATTGACTACTGAGGTAATTATCATACTCTTGAAGTGGCAACATATCCCAGAAGGGTAGCAAGAACAGGTGTGCTGCAAGGTGATGCTGCCAATGCAAATGTAAGACCAGCAAGGTATGCTTGTACACCTGGCAATAATGCAACATAAGTTAAAAAAATATTCATGAACAAAGAGAAACATAGTGATATAGAGATTAGTATTTTAATAAGGAAAATAAAAATGATGTGAGGAGGTATCACCTGAAGGGAGGTTAGCTGCAGCAGCTCGAGGGTCAAAATCGCTGAAAAATGAGGGAAGTTGCAATTCAAGTACCTGTTAAGGACAGAAAATAAACAGCTTAGGGCAGAACATTTGATAATGCAGTTACATGTACTTTTACAGGAGCAAGCAGGAATACGATTTTCATAAGAACGAACTATCACAAAAATTGGTTTGTACTTCTACAGGAGTATTTATAATGAGAAACCAAGAAATACAGGGATTAAATCAGCTCGTAACTTAAGGAAATAAGGTAGGAGGAAATTATGTTTGGCATGCTCCAGTCTATATATGTAATTTTCGTTTCATGTGTTTTACCTCCAGAAGGTTCAATCCCATGATGATGGCCAAACCAGAAGCAGCCACTGGGAGCCCTTGTCCTACCTGACCATAAGCCTTTCCAGCAAAAGAAGCAGCAACACCAAGAATAGCTAAGGTTGTTGCTAGTCCTAGTGAAAATGCAATTGAATTCCCAACAACCTAATAGATAGAAAAGCCAAGTCAATGCATGTATCAAGGGAAGCCCCCAGCTAGAACTATCAAGTTTTCAACATTATTAATAGCCTTAATTAGCCAAGTAAGTCCTTCAGTTTCTAACAGATAAATAGCAATATATTCTAGTTTTTCCATGGCATAAAGAAATAAAATTTGTCCACTCATCTTAAATTACCTCTGATCGGCCTTTCCCTGAGCCAAATGCACCTAGATGTTTATGAAGAAAGCACTGGATCAGAGTAATCAATGATGATCAATTCTGGCCATTCCAACAATCATCTCAAATAAAGCAATAAACTTACCAATATATCCTAGAGTTAATGGTAGAACACTGAGTGTACAAGGAGATAAACTAGTTACAAGTCCAGCACCAAAAATAACTGCCAAGCTGGAGAACCAAAGGTAAATAAGACATAAAAAGATATGGGCAGTAACATAGAAAAGAAAACTTACGTGATAGAACTGTGTACAAGAAAACAAAAACAAAACAGACCTAGAGAAACTAAGAGCAGACAACTGATCTTGGACAGCCTCGTTAGCCTGCTGCCCAGCTGAAAACAGCAAACCCCCAAACCAATCTCCAATGCCAAGGTCAGCCAAGACGAGTCCTGATGATCCGTGCTGATGAGAAACAGGCCGTTTGCAGGAATTAACGAGAAATCAATTAACAATTGTAGTGATAGTCTAATATATTTTTGAAAGCACTTAAGCACATGTTCTTTTTTGAAAGCAAAGGCACGCTGAAAAGTGAAAAGGGAACTAATTTTGAAAGCACTTAAGCACATGCTCTTTTTTGTGTGTGTGAGGAAAGCACATGATATTTTCCTCACCAAGGCCAAGGGATCCCATAGCTCGGCGGCATTTGCGGCGCCAGCGGCGACCAGACTCCCCACTGCAATCCACCAGACAGCACACTCATGTCAGTCACAGCTCACAGGCATTTCGTCGAACGGACCGGCCGCGCAAGCAATCATTTCAGGAACAAGGAAGAAGCTCGGAGCTACCGGCCACGGAAGCCAGAACCATGGGGCGCGAGCACGAGAGCCTCGCCGCTGCCTCCGGTTTGTTGACTCTACGAACCACTACCGCTACATGGGAAAACAGAAACATGAGAAATCAGGGACAGGCGGAATCAGTTAAACTGCGGGGCGGGCAAGCGAGCGCGGGGACAGGCGCGCGCGTACCAGGAGAGGAAGAGGGATCCACATCAGCAGAAGCAGCCGCTGCCTGGGTTGGCAGACGCGGGCGGCGCGAGCAGCTCACGGCGACGGGGCGCGCGGCCATGGCGATGGAGAGCATGGTGGAGCGGCCGAGTGGAGTAGCGACGGCCAACGACGACGAGAGAGCGTGGAGGACTGAGGAGTCGTCGAAGACTCGAAGTGGTGGTGGTGGTGACACTGACACGAACGCAAAGATATTCCTGGGCCCGGTGATGATGGGCCTGGACTGGATCCGAACTAAACCTGACAGACCATGGGTGTGGGCGGCGGCCCAAATGCGTCCAAAGCCCAGACGGCGCCGAAAAAAATCTGCGAGGATTTCCATATAGACACCTAACATGTATACTATTTATATGACATGGATTTATGCATAAAAATCCAATACATAGAAGTAGTTGAAAAAATTATATAAATTTAAGAAGATCATAACTCTCTCAGATATTTAGATGATTGCACGTCAACAAGTGTTATCAATTCACGACATGTGCTTATGGCCACTCCATAAGAACTCCGTGTAAATCTTTTTTCCCAACAGCACAACGCATGCTTCAGAGCTGAGTTAGACTACTGTATTTGTCAGGATCTTTACTTAATAAATAATAATATAATAAATAATTATTACTATTAAGTCATTGATATTGAATAGTGAACGAATATAGATATTGATTGCAGTAATGACTATGTAGACTGATACCGTGAATGTTATATGGATACGAAGGCATGTTATTCTAGAGCCCGAACATGTATTGAAATATTTGAATTCATAAATCTTATTTGGTTAGATGTTTTTGTATAATTAATTAAAAACCAATGTTTTATAAAATCGCTAAATAAAATAGCTTTCGCTATATCTCGTTATAACTTTTGAAGAATGTTGTTACTAGATGTGGTTAGAGCATATTCAAATGTCTCTTTTAAACTCACTCTCTAAATCATTATTTGAAAATCCATTTGAATAAAAAATATTCTCTATATCTATTTACCCTCCACAACTCTGTTATATATCTTGTACACATTCTAAATAGGTAACTTCGCTCTCTATGTTTAGCTAGTAAGAAAATCAAATTAGAAGATAACAATATTTAAAGATCTAATTAAAGAACGCGTTGAAAATGTTTATTCTTATCGACTAGAAAGAATATAAAGAATCACTGTTCCTGGCCGGTGTTAAGGGCGAGTTTGGATCCAATGTCTAATTGCTTGCTAGCTAAAAATTAACTTAATTAGTTTTCATAAATTTAAATGGGAGGACTAATAGGTAAGCTAACTTTTTATACAAGTCTTTAGCTAATTGTTAGCCAACTAGAAAGTTAACCATAGCTAATTTAAATTTATTTTTAGCCCATCTGCAACTAGTCGTGTGTATCATGCCCTTAAACATCTAAGAAGTACAGTAGAATCCAAACGCTTCAATGTCGTATAATCTAGCACAATAATGACCGAGATTGGACCAGTAAAATGTCGAGTACTCCTATATATTGCCATTCTAATTCTAATTTCTAGCCCGTCTCCTTCTTCCTCGTACGGTCGTGCGCCCCCGGTCAGGCACAGTCGCCGGCGCAGGCGGCGGTACACCTCTACGATCTCGCGGCGCGCTGGATTCGCAGCCTCGCATCGTGAGCTAGTTCTTTGGGGGCGGATTCCCCGATTGCCTGCAATTGGGCTGGCTTGCTTCTTGTGCCTGTTTGGGAGCTCCGGCGAATCGTCTGGGTTGCGGACTGGGTCCTCCTCCTCGTCCCCCTCCCGATGGGGGGCTGGAACCGGTCGCGGCATGTGAGGTGGCACCGCGACCGCCCGCGCCGCCCTCCGCTCCCTCCGCCTGATTACGGTACGGACGGTACCCCCTCGTTCCTCGATTTGGGTGATGCTAGCCCGTAATCTCTTTGGGTAGGATTGGATTCGAATTTGTTTCGTCTAGTTAGGTTCTTGGTAATTCTAGTTGAACAGAGATTTAGTGACTCCGTCATTAATTCGAGCTTAGAATCAGAGTTATTGATGCAAATGGTCTGTTGTCTGAAGATTTCTCGTGTTGTACATTTTTCTTACTTTGCGAAATGTTATACTGAAATGTCAGAAGAGAAAATGCTTGTAGCTTTGGAAAATGCACCTGTTGGAGATAGCCATTCCAATTTGTATATTTGGGGGAATGGAAGTAGGGAGGTTACTGCAATTGCAAGTGTGCAAGTTTTAGTAATTGCAGATGATTTTTCCAGCCACTGTCTGTAGAGTATCATCAGTTCCTACAAGAATAGGGATTCGATTAGTAATGAAAGGAATTTAACAAATTAGTATTTTAAATGAAGATACTTAGTATTTCAAATTAAAGGGCAGCCCAGTGTACGTAGCTCCCGCTTGCGCAGGCTCAGGGGAAGGGTCCAACCACTTGGGTCTTTTGTACGCAACCTTTCCCTGCATTTCTGCAAGAGGCTGTTTCCAGGACTTGAACCCGTGACCAAGGCTTTACCACTGCGCCAAGGCTCCCCTTCTTTAGTATTTCAAATTAGAGTATCCAAAATGCTGTGGGGGTGTTGGTTTAAATGTTTTGAATTTTATCCCGAACTGTAGCTGGTACAATATTGACGGTTCCTTTTGGTGACGTAGCTTCTTACCTTTAGAGAGAATGCTGCCATTTTTTCATAATCTTCATCCAAAATTCTGTATGTACAAGTTTCTTTATCCCAGCTCGAACGCCATTAGCTGGCATGGCATTGTGAGCTTGGCTTATGAGTTATGAAAGAATCACATCACAGCTTGAGGTTTTACGTCAAACATTACAGCTTGAGGTCTATTAGCTTGTAATTCTAGAAAGTTGGGTTATGTAGATAAGATGAAACGGTATCTAGAGTTAGCTTTATCCTTTAGACCTTTAGGGATATGGTTTTGTAATAGAGTTAGTGTTTTGCTTATCATTCTCATTACTGGTGATATATTCCTAGGGTACAAATCAAAAAACAAAAGGTGAAAGTATATAAAAAGAAAAATTGTGGGGAGTACTCTTGCCATCACCAGTGAGCTAGTTTTGCAGTTGCCAAGCAAGCTTCTTTATTTGAATTCTAATATCAGTTTCATATACACAGGACAGGAGCACTGCTCAGTCCCATTATGGGAAAGGGAATTCTGCAGTTATGTTGGCAACATTTCTTGGCAAAGGTTCTGCGAAAACAAGCGATATATTTCAGTATGTAATATCCTTGAGCACTGGGATGATTCAGGAGCCTTTGAGAATTTTCAGAATTCAAAGGCAAGATTCTGGGCTCACTATCATGGCCAACCTTCTGATATTTCTTTGCCAGGCCCTGATATATACATTGACAAGGTCGACCATCGCTGCAAAGTTGACCCTGAGTTGGTAGCTGACCTGGATAAGGTACGGGTACCATTTGAAGTGGATAATAATTCTGGCCTGGCTACTGGATTGACCAATGCCAGGGCAGATAAGAACCAGTGCGGAAACTGGGATATTTATGTAGAAAAACCATCTGAAGTCAATAGGTGGGACTGGGAGGCTAACTCAAAACCCGACTTGAGTTGGGGAGTGAAGAATGAATCTTCCAGTATATGGGGTAAGAGCAACTCAGGTTGGGGTGATGCTCTGGAGAAACGCAATTGGCGTGGCTCGAGCAACGACCATTACTCATCAAACAATAGAAATAGCGACTTTTATGGTGGATCCAACAATAGATACCAGCAGGAGGATCCAAGTCACACATCTGGAAGGAAACGGAACAGCGGAGAGTACTTCCAGCAGAGGAACAACAAGCATAGGAGACAGGATGAGCGTTACCAAAGAAGCAGTTGGCAGGATCACAGGGGAAGAAATGATGAATGGCGTCCATGGCACTAGATGACTTGCAAAAATGGTTATTAGGGAAAAAGTGGCTCTTGATTTTGTGGCAAAATCGTGAAGGCCTTGTTCGGTTCGGTGGGGATTGGATGGGATTGAGGGGGATTTTATCCTCTACAAGTCAAAATCCCCCTCAATCCCCTTTGATCCCCTCCAATCTGCTTGGATTGCTGATTAACTGAACAAAGTCTGAAGAAATTTTGGTGAAAGACCAGTAGGTAGTAGCTTTTGTTTTGACAGTTGCTGGGCTGCTGGCAAAGTGGTCCCTGTAATGGGATGTTTTTCTTTTGTTGTTATGGGAGCATGGCTGCTAGCTTGTTACCATTTCAGTGCAAAGAAATGTTCTCCACCTGGTTGTACTTCTCCATTAACACAGTGGGTTATAATTCTCAAAGTTTAGAGATCTGCCAATACAATTCGCATATTCTGAAATGTACCATTATAAATCTCTGTTTCCCTCAGCGATGCCATTTTCTACATCTTCCAGCTGCTTGGGCCCACTGTTAGGCGTATGTGTACTGTATGTCTTTCCGTATGGATGTTTTTGCCCCTGTTCCATTGTGAAAGGAGCCTGCGCCCGTGGCCCTAGCTCGCACTCTCTTCTTCCTCTCGCTCACTCGGTCTCTCTTCTTCCTTGCCCTCACAAATTGGCAGAGATGTGGAGATTTTGGCCACTTTGCAAAAACTTGCAAACTGGCAGAGATCGGAGAAGATGGCGAGAGAGCTCCACCTAGGAACAAGGCTAACAAAAGGTACCCTTCTGTCCACTAAATTACATCACCTGTTTTTTACTACAATATATATAATGTTACCTTCACAATGTAGGAAAGAAATTCCAACAGAGGAAGCTGGTCCCTCCCAAGCCAAGAAAAAGATAGTTCAGAAGAAGAAGGGCACCCCCAAAGAAGAAGGCACTCATCAAGAAGAAGCTGAAAAAGGCTACAACCAACCCACCTACTACAGTTGTTAGTACTTAGTAGCATCAGGAGGCTGGTCTATGAAGACTGAGCCTGTGAGTAGCTTATGACGTGCTTTTGTAATAAATTTAGAACTTGTATGCTGGTATGATCTGCTTTTGTGAGATGTGGCTTTGTGTCGACACAGAATTTTCGTCTCCATGCTGAGGACACACGCAGCAAGCCGGAAGGGTCCGCTCGATGGAGCAGATCCGCCTAGCTTCAGCGCAAGGGTGGTCGATCTTGCGCAATCCTCCCGAGACGTGCCAGTCAATTTGA